CTCTTCTCTTCTCTTCTCTTCTCTTTTTTCTTCTTTTCTTATGATCTTGATGCTTTTGAAGAGTACTTATTAGGTACTTTGGACAGTGATCCTCAGTTTGGAATTGTCTGATGCTTTCTCATGGTTAGAGTGAGATAATGTGTTTTTGGAGAGAATAATGCAGAGGTGATGTGCTCTTATCTGTATATCATATCTTGGGTACTTGATGTCACTGTCTTATTACTGGTAATGTTAACCTTGGTTCTTTGGTTAAGGTGGTATGTGCCAGGTTTCTCTGCTATAAAATTACTATTTCTCACTTTGTAAATTATAAAATGTTTTGGGGAGATATTTTGAGGGCATTCAAGTACCCTGCTTCTTCTTAAACTTTTGCTGATTAATTTTAGCATTTATTAGTGGGTCATAACTACAGCAGTTTTTACTGTTTTCTAGTGGTGATTTTCTTTTTTTCCTTCATTTCTTATGCATTTATTAATTGGGATTAATAATAACTGCTTTATAGTTATTCTTTTTAAAAAGTTTCTTCCATCTAGTTTTAGGTACCTAGAACTTGCCATGATCAGTTTTAATTTTTTTTTTTTTTTTGTAAACAGAAATATTTTGAGCATTTGAAATGTAGACAGATGGAAACTGGTTTTTCTCCTCCTTTGTTCAGGTCCTAGCTCTCTTTTTGGGTTTTACTTTCTATTCAATGTCCTTAGGTTGTTTAGCACATTCCTGCAATCTGCTGCTCACTGTATGTTCTTTAGGTATGGAAGAGATGGGTTACGGGAAAGTGGGAGGTCATTTAGAACTTGTGAAGTTAGTTTGTATTAGTTGAAGTAGGGTGGAAGAACGATCCTAAAGCAGTTGTCAACCACCTTTCCAGAAATGTAGAGCCAACTGAAGTCACCCAGAGGAGAAATGTCGCCATGGTCACTCAAAAGGATTCAAATAGAATTTTAGTATTTAGGCAAAACTCCCTTTCACTTTGTGTCAGGGCATTGAAGGAAGATTACATATTGAAAATAACTCTGAATATTTCATAAGAGTTTAAAAAACACTCTCTGAGTTTTCCATAATTGAATGATTTTGTAATCTGAACTATATGAGAAGGAATTTAAATTTTTGTGCTACTCACCTTACTAAAGAAAATTAATCTATTATGTTACTGGAGTATAGGATAATAAAAAGAAAAATGTAAAAAAATGTTATGTGTATGTGGGGATGTATTATGTTACTCTTTATGTGAGGGGAGAAAAATAAAAATATGTATTTGCTTATTGTTGTAAAAAGAAACTTAAGAATAATAAATGAGAAACATAATAGTTACCTATAGGGGATACATAGACCTGAGATAGAAAAGATATAGAAGGGAATAAGATTTCGAGTATACTTTTTTATATAGTTTTGAACCATGTGTTTTATACATTAGAGATAGCCCAAAAGTACATAGGAAAAAAAGGATGGGTAGAGGAAACCTTAAAACTGAATATAAGCAGAAACAAATAAGCCTTACATCATATGAAATGGGTAATGTAATCACAGAAAAAAAATTCCAGGTACTTTTGAAAAGAGCTTCCTGACTATATACCTTCATAGGATTTATATTAAGGTTGAAAATAATTGCAAAGAAATCATGAACTTTACTTAGTGGATTTGTCTTTGGTAGTGATATTTTGCTAGACTCAGTCTACCTCCAGTAACTCCAAGAAAGGAAGTTGGGAAGTTGAGAGAAATTCTGAAACTATTTTATGTGCCTGGAAGGGTAGAACAGGTGCATACATGTATTGATTTTTTGGGGGAACCAGGACTTGCACAGTATAAGAAGATAAATACAGGTAGGAATGTGGTGGTTGATTTGAATTGGAGATGCCAGTTTAAACTCCAGTTTAAAATAAAAATCACTTAGAGTGCTTTTAAACTTTAGATTCCTGGGCTGCTCCTCCAGAGATTGAGTTAGTCATCTTGGGTGGAGTATAGGAATCTGAATTAAAATTATCTCAACTGAGTTTAGTGCAAGTAAACTGTACTTTTGAGAAACTACTTCTGGGACTGGCATTTTCAAGCAATATCTTGATCAGTCATTTAAGCTGGGACATTTTTCTCCAGGTTAACCTGGACCATCCTGAATATTTTTACCTTTCTACTCTTCCAGAGTCTTGTTTTGGGGTTGTTAGAAGTAGAGTCTGGCCTGTCAGGGCATGGCCTAGTGGTTGAGCACCGACCTAGGATCCAGGAGATCGTGGTTCGATTGCTGGTCAGGGCATATGCCGAGGTTGCAGGCTCGATCCCCAGTTGGGGGTGTGCAGGAGGCAGCCAATCAATGATGACTCTCTCATCATTGATGTTTCTCTCTCTCTCTCCCTCTCCCTTCCTCTCTCTGAAATCAATAAAGATATATTAAAGAAAAAGAAAAAATGAAGAAGTAGAGTCTGCCCAAGTTTTGCGATCTGAAGTAATCTCTTTTCTTCATTGTGTGTATGTATATACATGTCTTGGCTCTCCTATATCTCTGGGTGTTTTTACTTTCTAAATATGGTTTTGCTATTTTTAAAAACAGGCTTGTGATTACCAAATGAAAAGCATTATTTAAAAGGCCCCTATCCTCATGGAGCCTGCTTACATTGTGAATACAGTATGGAGGAAGATGACCATTACACAAATCACTGTGAGTGTGATGAGAAATCTAGGGTGATAGGGAAGTTTTTTACAGTGAGATCTAACATAATAGTATCTGAAAGTCAGAAAGGATTTCCCTAAAGAACTGGTGTTTAAACCATGAACAAATTGAAAGTTGAGTAGACTCAGATGAAGAGTTGGAGTAAGGCTGCTGGCAGTCTTTGTAGAAGGAGCAACAAATGGAAAGCTAGAGATGAGAGAGAACACTGGAGGGGATGAGTATAGATAGTAAGGTAGGGTCAGATCATGAAGAGCCTTTGGAGGCTTTGTTAAGGATTTTGGATTTTATCCTAAGTGCAATGGGAAGTCATTGAAAGGTTTTAAGTGAAAGGGTAACATCAAATTTGCCTGTGAAGCAGTAACTGCTTGCAAGGTGGAGAATGGTATAGGAGGGGCACCAGTTAGGTAGCTATTGTACTATGCTGAGACTGGTGTCCTAGCCTGGGAGTGTAACAGAAGAGATGGAATAAAATAGGTAGATTAAAGATAGGTTTAATAAGATTGAATGATAGATTTGTTTCAGATGGTGAGAAGGAAGGAGAATGTTAAGGATGTCTTAGAGGTTTCTGATTGGAACCATTATGTGAGTAATTGTCTTTAAACTGAGAAGGGAAAGTCACACTGGAAATAAAGATCGGTTTAGTTTTAAACATGTTGAGTTTGAGGTGTTTCTGGAGATGTCTAGTAGATGGTTGAAAATATGTTAGGAACTTGGGAGAAAGGTCTAGTTTGGAGATTTAGATAGACTTAAGTATCATAGGCGGTCTTTGAAGCCATGGCTGTAGATAAGATTGCCTAGGCAGCAAATGTAGAAATGAAAAAAGGACATAGGGCAGAACCTTGAAGAGTTTCAGTATTTCAGTTTTTTAGAGATGTGTTCTTTCCCTGAAACCATTTAGAAAATAGGACTGTCATGATTTCTTATTCTGACCGTCTCGATTCTCTCCCTCCCATCTTGAACTTTTGAGATAGGTAGATGAACTTCAGTTTGTATGATTAGTTCTTTCATTTTCTTGTCTTCTTTTTTATTTGGACTGAGTATTTTTTTATGATTCCATTGTATCTCCACTATTATTTTATTAGTTATACCTCTTCCTAAATTTTGTTTTAGTGATTGCTGTAGGCTTTTGCACATAACATCTTTAACTTATCACACTGTATCTTCAAATATAGCATTTTTTGTATAGTGGAAGAACTTTGTAAACCTTATAATTTTAATTCCTCCGACCCATCCTTTGTGCTACAATGTGATACATTTTACTTCTACATGTTGTAAACCCCATAATAAATTATGTTTTTGCAGACACTTGATCATCTTTTAAAGGCATTATAAATAAGAAAAAGTGTTTTTTAAAAAATTTATTCTGTTTTTACAATTTCTGGAAGTTGTCTTTTTTTTTTTTTTTGGTAGATCCAAGTTTCCATTTGGTATCATACTTCTGCCTGAAAAACTTCCTTATAACATTGCCAGCCAGCTGGCACCACCAGAAATGAATTCTTTTAGCTTTTTTCTGTCTGGAAGTCTTTGTTTTGCTTTCATTTTTGGGAAGTATTTTCACTGGGTATAAAATTGACTGTTTTAAAATTTTGGTGTTTAAAAAATGTCATTCTGTTTTCTTCTCTCTTGCATAATTTGAGATATTTGTTATAATCCTTATCTTTATTTCTCTGTACATAATCTTTTTTTTTTCTTGTTGTCTTCAGTATACTCTTCAGTTTGATTTTCAGCATTTTGACTAATGAATATAGGTGTGTGGATTTTTAATTTATTCTGCTTGGTGTTCTCTGAAATTCTTGCATTTGTGATTTGAAGTCTTTTATTATTTTTGGAAGATTATTGACTGTTCAAATTTTTTTCTGCCTCATTGCTTTCTTTTCTCTCCCCTGGGACTCAGATTACTTGTATTGTTCCATAACCTTTGATGATGATGATGATGATGATGATGTGTGTGTATAAGTTTGGATGATTTCTGTTGATTGATCCTCAAGATATCTGAGCCTTTGCATAGTTGTGTCCAGTGAACTGATGAGCCCATCTAGGGGATTCTTTATCTTTGATTATGTGTTCTATTTCTGTCATTCACATTTGACTCTTTCTTATGGTTTCCACATCTCTGTTGAAATTCCCCATCTCTTTATTCAAGTTGCCGATTTTTTCTAATTGGTATTTTAACCTATTAGTCATAGTTATTTTAAAGTTTTTGTCTGATAGTTCTAACACCTGAGTCATCTCTTTGTTGCTTATCTCTTTACAATGGTTTCCCCCCCCTTGCTTTTCTGTCTCGCGCTATTTTTGATTGAATGCCAGATAGATATGTAGGAGAATGGTAGAGACTGAGGTAAACAGTACTTATACCTGTAAATGGACAAGCGTCTTTTGTCCCAGGTCATTTTTGTGGGAAGTTCAATCAGTCTGTCAATACTTGAGCTGGATTTGGGTTTTGCTGTCCACATCTTTGTCTTCAGCATACTGCAGACTTTACATGTCTCCAGCAGTAGGCTCCTGTTACCTTGTGCTTGGAATGGAGGGCTTAGGTACTTGCAGGGTTTTCTTCGTTTTCCTGCTTTTTTTTAGATTTTAGTTGTCTCTTTTCACCTTGCTACATATGGGGATCTCTCTCCATGCTTCTACCCATTCTCTATCAGACTGTTACTGCTTGTTATTCATTGACAGGCTTTTTGGTAGGGGCTCGGGGTTTTATCTGTTGTCTTAATTCAGCCTCAGTCTTACTCAGGCCCTTGGACTTGGGGGTGGGGCTTTTTCACTGTTTCTTTCCTTCAGCCAGACTAGCCTTGCATCTGTAGTTGCTTTTGGGACAATTTTCTGCCCCTCCCTCAGCTAAAGTAGTTCTGACACTGTCCCAGAGGTAGAAGGATTTTGCTTCTACCCTTCCTCCATCAGCAGTAGATCTTTGCCTGTTTCCTGGGAAGGGGTTTCCTATCCCTCCCTACAGGTAGGTGTTTTTTTCCCCCATTCTTCCTCAGGAGTCTTTGCCAAAGTCTTATGAGTGAGAAATTTTGCTGCCCCTACCTCAGACTTAAGTTTTTTGTTTTGTAATATGTATAGAAGGTGGTGGGGCTTTGTCTTCCCCTCTGTGGCTGTCAGTTACCTTTTTCCTGCCTATGCCACAAAGGAGACTTTCTTTGGTTCTTTCTTATGAGCATATGGTGAAGGCCCATGGAGAACAGCTTGAGAGTGAGTAGTAACTTCCCTTGTGTCTGGGACCCTTGTTGTTTTAAACAGACAGACTTTAGCCCATGCTCGGCCTTTTAAATTTTAGCTAATTTCTTGGGTGGTGGCCACTGCTTTCTCCTATGCTCTTCCAAAAAGTGAGACAGCCTTGTCTCCTTTCTCATTGAATGGGCTTGTGCCTTTTAGGAATTTCATTTTTTGGGTTGCTTTGCAACCTCAACTCTCTGATGCTGCTCAAATAGATGTGATTTGGGGAGGGGGTGGACTAACCCATTGTTTTCTTACTGTTTGGGAGAGATTATCATTGTTTGTAGCTCTCTACATCCTAAGCAGAAGTGGAACTCTCATAAGTTTTAAATTGATGTTTTGATAATAAGATAGGCTTGATTTATATTCATATTTTAAAAACTTCTTTAATACCAACATTATCCCATGAGTGGGAAGTTTTAATATAGGCATTATTGTTGAATTTTGTATTAAAAAATAAAATAAGCATTATGTCAAAAGTGACTTCCCCAAAATTCTAAGTAGTGGTTAAATGTAGTTTGAACCCCTCTCCACCTGGCCATTTTGGAATGAACACAATTATGGAGTGGATCTTGGAGAATTTCATTAAGAAGAAATGGCCTTTGGGTATTTTCTGTAAAAATTGTGGCACAGTCCTACTTATTAGTTAAAGATTCCCTGTTTCACAGATTTTTTCCAGGTCTCCAAGTGCATTTTCCTGCCATCTAAGTTGGTTCTTCTTTCCTGCTGCATTGAGCAACCTAGATGTTCTTGCTAGCCCTCTGTAGCCAGTGTCGTCTTTCTGTTTTTTTTTCTTAATAGATTGAAGTGAGAAGCTGATTGGTGTCTATGTGCTCTTGTAATGGAGTAGGAGAATTTTTTTGTTAGAATTTTTAACTCATTAAAAAGTGATAATACATGTGCTTTATAGATCATTTGAACTGCAGAAAAGTAAAAAGAGGAAAATAATCATTACCTATAATTCTGTGTAAAAAAATCTTAGCATTTTGGCTAGTTTCCAAAAATGAGTGAATGATTCAATCAGTCAAGCACAGTTAAAGTTATAATATGTATATAATCTTATATTTGGCATTTAATATTTAATATTAATCATAGGCATCTCCGTGCATCATTAAAAGTTCTTAATGAACACTTAAAATGAGACATATATTCCATTATTTGGAATTTTGTAACATTCGCCAGAAACTTTCAGTAACTGCTTCCCTTTGTAGCATTCATAATTTGAAAACCAAAAAGGTTTAAATTTGAAGCTCATTTAAAAAGCTTATTTCATTTGTAATTATATTCCAGTACATAGAGATATTTACATTTCTGATTCTGATTCTGTTTTTAAAGGTGGATTTTACTTTTTGGATTCTAATGACTGTATGGTTTTTCTTCTTTAATTTCAGAATTCCATAAGACATAATCTGTCGCTGAACAAGTGTTTCCTTAAAGTGCCTCGATCCAAGGATGACCCCGGAAAGGTAGGATTTATTTTCTTAAAATAATTGGATTCTTCATTGTGTGTGTTCTCATGTTTGTACCGAAGCTGTATCTGTTAATATAAAGAAGAAGAATTGGAATGAGAGCATTCAGGTTCATTGAGCAGGAATATTTGTGAAAATAGCAAGTCCTTCAGCCAACTCTCTCCCTTCCGCCTCCTCACCTCACCCCCATGTTAGCTGATTTTCTTCAAGGACCAGCCAGGCAGGGAGAGCTTTCTTTTTAAGCAGTGAGAAGCTAGCTAGTGTAGTGTAGAGCTGGTCCTCTGTTACAGTCTGCTGTTTCTAACTAGTTTTTGCTTGGTTATTTTGTTAAGTGTGTGTATTAAATTAAATTTGGTTTTTGAACTGCTTGTTAGGAACCACACTTAATTAATTATTTCATATAAGAGGTGGATTTGTGTGTAATCGACAAGTGGAAGTAATTCTTATCCTGAAACAAAATTGTTTTTCTGTTATTTCCTTTTTTTCTTAGTTGCTGCTTTTTCTCTTTATTCCATTTATCTCCTGCCACCTTATTACATTTTTAGTATTTTACCTACAAAGACTTTTTTGTTTCTTTTAATAGCCATGTCAATTACAGTATGGCCTGAACTTGGTACTAGTTGCTTGGTTTCTATGCTCAGAGTATTTGGTTGTCATGATAAATTATTAGATTAGGACTTTGAGACAGTGTGTCTGGGCAAGCATGCATTCTTGTTTGGATGTTTACACTTCTTGTTGTAGTCTTCAGGCTAAGTGTCTCTGGAAAAATTTTTTTAAAATGTAAGCCTGGTCATATTATCACCCTGCTTTCGTACTCCCTAGTGTTCTGGAGATTTTTTTTATAAAATACCATTTACTGTAGTTTTCTTGATATACCTTTCTTCAAGTTATTCAAGACCCACTGTGAGGAACTACTTGAAGTTTCTCAAGCATGCTTTTCAAATGTTCTTCTCTTAATTCACAAACTCCCTTCCTTTACTTGTCTGGCCTGCTCCTTGTCTTTTAAGATTGAGCTGCAACATTGCTTCTCTGAGGCTCCCCCCCCACATCTAATAAGTTTGTTGTTTCCTATTTTGAGTTCCTTTTACTTTGTCATCATTGTAGTAGCTCCTAACTGGTCTCTCTATCCGTGGACTTACTATCTCTAATGTATAGTAACTTTCACATAGTAGCCAGTAATTTTTCAAAAATGTTACCCTAATCATATGTACTCTGTTTAAAATCTTGATTGGTTACCTACTGTCCTTAGGTTAAAGTCTAAATATGAGGATAGGGATCGTGTGTATATTGTTTACTTGTGAGCCCCAATTACTTGGACAGTGGCTGGTGGCACTGAGGAGACATTCTTGTTGAATGAATGAATATATTGTATCCTCTGCTAGATGATTAACTTCTTAAGGTTAGAGATGAAGAGTTATTAATTTCTATTGTAAAGCAGGCACTCTTAAAAAAAGAATTTTATAGCACCTACTATGATCGGCCCCATCAAGTTGGTTCTTAATAAGATTGAATAATTATGAGTTTTTTTATTTGACCCAATTTATTATTTCCCTATGTTCATAATTCTCCAAGGTTGTGAGTAGGAATTGGTGACATTTTTCTTTCCTTTAAAACAGGCTTATTATAAAAGAAAGGAATTACAAATTTTTATATTTACTTCATTGCAATTTTCTATCGGCAGTAAATATATATGAATCTGACAGAAAGGGTTCTTAAGAGTTTAGTATTATCTATTTTATCAGTTCTGTGAGGCAACTAATTAGATTCTGTAAACATGTGGTTCAGATTTAACTCTTAAATGAGGTTTAAATCATTCAAAAAAAAACCCACACACGAAAACTGTATTACGTACCAAACTTCTTATTTTTTATGTTTTAAAGATTTTTCAATTGAATTTTTTTAGAGAGAGGAAAGGAGAGGGAGAGAGAGAGAAACATTGATGTGAGAGTGAAACATTGGTGGGCTGTGACTGCCTCTTGCACACCCCTTACCAGGGTTGAGCCCTCAACCTGGGTATGTGCCCTGACTGGTAATCGAACCTGCAATGTTTTGGTGCATAGGATGACACCCACCCAACCGAGCTGCACCAGCCAGGGCTATTTATTGTTAACAGATTTATAGATGTCCTCCATTTCCCTCCCCCTTTGCTCCCCTCCACCAGCCCCTGCCCCTACCCCAGGCCTTCTTCACACTATTGTCTGTGTCCATGGGTTATGCATATAAGCATGTATGTTATTTGGTTAACCTCTTCCCGTCCCCTCCATTATGTACTAAATTTTAACCAATTGGAGACCTGTTTTAAAAACAACAACTGCTGTCAGGTTTTCTCTTGTGCAGAACTTAAAGCTTTTCTCCACCTTAGTTAACTAGTATCATGGAGTAAGGGAGATGTAGAAAACATGTTACTCTTTACAACTATTCTTTTTGAATCAGGATTGTACAACTAAAACAAAATACAGAAATAAATTGAATCCTGAAAGGTAAATAAAAGCTTTCAATTTTTACTGTTAGTCTCCAATTTTAAACTTGGTTTTATCAAAACACATTGTTCTCGTTGATTTTGGTCATAATAGTAAATATTGTATATTTGATCTTATAAAGTACATTTATACTAATAGAGTCATTTTTATTTTCACTCTAGGTGAGATTTAAATATCCATTGTCCTTATTGATTTGGTCAGAAGTAAATGATGTAAATCTGATCTTATAAGATACATTTATATGAGTAAAGTCATTTTAATTTTTGATACCAAAATAAAATTTTTGTTTAAAAAAAGTTCCATTGCCTAAAAAAAGTTTTGAAAACATCAGATCTTTCCCATGTTATAGAAGAGGAAACTAAAGCCGATAAATGAGGAATGACTTACCCAGGTTCAGTGTAGAATTAGGACCAAGTGTATTAGCCAGACTTACTTGCAAGTCACAGAAACCCATTACAGACCAACTTAAGGGAGAAAATACCTGCAGTAGGAGCTGGAGCCCGGTTCTTAAATTTTATCACCAGGAATGTCTCTTTACATCCCTTAGCTTTTCTGATGGCTGCATTTCAGCTCATTTAGTGACAGAGATGACCATCACCAGCTTCTGGCTTATATTCTGCTAGTTTAGTAATAACCCTTAGCTGAAAGAGGCTGTTTGCTGTCCTCTTCCCAAGTCACCTAGAGTATAACAAATGTTTTTGAATGCTGAACAAACAGAATACACTTGGTTTCTTGGTTCCTAGACTAGTGCTTTTCCCACTGTACCAATCTTCCTTGAGAGGGAGGCCAAAATGTTAGTTAAGTTTTGGTACTTATGAATTGTTTTTTCTTTTTGTATTACAGTGTTTCCTGGCATTTGAGGAGCTTTTCCAAAACCACCCTCACCACAGTGGGAGAAAACCATTGAGCCAAGGTGGGGTGGGAGTAGTTTTGGTCTTTTGGGTATGGGGTGGACTTTTACCCCTTAGGATTTTGTTAGCTGCTGCCATGACCCAGATGGGTCCAAGAAATAGAGGTAGAGTTAGCTTACACAGCATCTTCTTTCCCGTAGTATTATGGTATAGCTTCTTGTTTAGAGTATTACCAGAGAGGTATGAAGGCCAGCCTAAACTTGAAAGAGTATTGTTGAATGGCTGTTTATTTTTGACTCAATCCTTCAATTCCTACAAGTTGTCATAAAAGCCCTTAATATTTGATACCCTCCCATGTACACTGATGATCTGAAATCCATTTTCCTCTGTTCCTTGAAACTAATTTCAAACAGCTACATTATTTTCTTTAAAAAGAGAAAAACAAAATGAAATATTTTGCATCAATAATTGCTACTTTTTGAGGGACAGATTTCTGTTTTCTCTTTCCTTGATTACAACCCTGTTTCTTCATACTGCAGTCTATCCACTTTTTTATTCCTGTCTTTTGTCTCCTCTTCTCTCATTAGCTTTACTTTCTGTATTTTTGTCTGTTTTTTTAATATAATTTTTTGATAAAAGTCTTCTTCTGCAACTCACACATGTCTGTTACTTTAATCTTAAAGAAAGGTAAATATTTTGTTGACATTTTGGAAAAACAAATCTTATCAGCTAAATTTAGTTTGAAAATATAGAGTTCTCCGTCTTTGCTTTCCATGTAATATTTTCTCAACCTTGTTCCCTCTTCTTCAGCTCAGAAAAATGATACTTTGACTTTAAAGGAAATAAAATATTATAGGAAATGGTTTCAACAATTAATTAGAGCAATGGGCTCTAATAAAACTGATAGCTAAGGACTTTAAGATACTATGAAGGCCACCTGCCTGTCCTGGGAGAGATGACTGCAGTGATTCATAGTAAAAAAATGCTTTTCGGGGAAGTGGGTGGATATCTTTTTCTTGCCTGAGGATGGGAAGGTTGTAAAGGCTCAGTGGCTGTGAAGTTTGGGGTCTCTTGGTTTGTGAGGAAGCAACAAAGTCACTGCTTTTGGAAATTCTGAGTTTGTGATTCCCCC